CCTGTGAATAGTAGCAGAGCGCTGTCTGATATAGCACAGGAAGTGAGAGGATGGCACAAAAAGACCCGGCAGGGTTCAGCTCTGCTGTACACAGGGTCACTAGGGGTCGGAATCGACTTGATGATACTAACAACAACAAATGAAGTTCCTCATGAGGCTCAAAGTGTCTGTCTGATATTTTGAAGGACACTTTCACACCAAACTGGGTTAAGGACCAGGTGATATTCTCATGGCTCCCATATTGTCCCTCCTTAGCCCTTATGGCAATTGAAATTAAATGATTATTTGTTTTTGTTTTTTTTTTAAAGATTTTATTTATTCATTTTTTTTCCCCCCAAAGCCCCAGTAGATAGTTGTATGTCATAGGTTCACATCCTTCTAGTTGCTGTACGTGGGACTTGGCTTCGGGTTGGACGGAGAAGTGGTGCCTTGGGGCGTGCCCCGGGATCCGAACCCGGGTCGCAGGCATCAGAGCGCACGCACTTAACCACCAAGCCACGGAGCCGGCCCTTAAATGATTATTTGTATAGTTACTTGCTTAATGTCTACAGACCCACTAGGCTGTTATCAGATAATAAACTTCCTTCCTTATGAAGAATCATCCCTTTTTCATAGAAAGGGATAACAAAACATAAAAAGATATGATGTTAATGCATTGAGTTATCTCACATTTAAGGTTCTCCCCTGTCTTAGTTTGGGCTGCCATAACAGAGTACCATAGACAGGGTGGTATACAGACAACAAAAATTTACTTCTCACAGTTCTGGAGGCTGGAAGTCCAAGCTCAGGGTGCCAGCTTCAGGTTCTGGTGAAGACCGTCTTGCAGGTTGCAGGCTGCCACCTTCTCCTTGTATCCTCACGTGGCAGAAAGAGGGAGCTAGCTCTCTGGCTTCTTCTTTTTTTTTTTTTAAATAATTTTTATTTATTGATTGATTTTTCCCCCAAAGCCCAAGTAGATAGTTGTATGTCATAGCTGCACATCCTTCTAGTTGCTGCATGTGGGATGTGGCCTCAGCATGGCCGGAGAAGTGGTGCATCGGTGCACGCCTGGGATCTGAACCCAGGCCGCCAGCAGCAGAGCTGGTGCACTTAACCACTAAGCCACGGGGCCGGCCCTCTCTGGCTTCTTCTAATCCCATTCCTGAGGGCTCCACCCTCATGACCTAATCACCTCCCAGAGGCCCCACCTCCTCATACCATCACATTGGGGATTAGATTTCAGCGTATGAATTTTGGGAGGACACAAAAATTCAATCCATAACATCCCCCATAATGTTTTATTAAAGTGGTTGAATGGAAGTGCAGTGTTGTGATTAAGGAAGTGGGCTGGGCAACCAGACTCTCTCCATTTGAGTTCTAGCTTTGCCATTGTGTGACAAAGTGGGTTGAATGGGTTATATAACCTCTCAATGCCTATCTTTCCTCATCTGTAATATGGGGATAATAATATTAACCTCTACCTTGTAGGGTCCTTGTAGGGGTAAAATGGGTTAATGTATGTAAAGCACTTATAAGGGTGCCTGGCACATAGTAATTACCTGTAAATGTTAGTTGTGGTTGTGTTTTCATTGTTATTATTATATCAGTGGTGCTTTCTACGGCCTATCTGCTCTCCCCATTTCACGATATTCTGTAAAAATTTAAGTGTTCCATAAAAAACTCCATGAGTTCAAAGTGCTGCCATCTTAACATGCCTGAGAAGCCCTGTTCAACCTGTTTTTCCTTACACAAAATTGGGGAGAGGGGGTAGGTACATGACATAGGAGATGGGGGCGCACATTCTTTGCTTTGCCCGAGGTCTACACTCCTGGGAAGATACTCTTCTCAAATACAGGAAAGAGAGGGTTCATCCTGCCTTTTCCTTCCATTCTCAGTGAGGTAAGATCTTACATCAGGGTGCTGGCTCCAGGTTGGGGGAGACCTCTGTTCCACACAGAAAAGTTAGGGGTAAGGGTAAATAATACTACTGAGGCAAAGCTACCACGTAGCCGAAGTTGGTAGTTCCACCCTCCTGCAAACTTGAGGTCTTTACCCTTTTGATTCTCCCCTTCCAACAGCCTATCCTGAATGTCCTCTCAAGAGAGGCACTCTTGAGTGTCATGGAGACCCTCTTCCACTTTCTCCTTCTTCTCACTCAAGGTGGTAAGGATGCAGGGCTATCACAGATGACCCTGCTCTACTGGATTATCATATTCCACTGACTTTGCCCATCCTAGTCCACTGCCCTGGCCCCAGAAACCTGGGGTCTTCCTACCTGGCTCCCAGCAGATACACACACACTACCATTTTCAGTATCTCACCAGGGCCAGGCTCTGTGTGCCTCACAATTATTTCCTGAGAAACTAATTCATACTTCTGGAGAAAGCAGAGTATTAATGGTTAAGATCAGGGGCTTCAGATCCAAGAAGACTTGAGTTGGAATTTTGGTTTGGACACAAATTGTGTGACCAGGCCAACTTGCTTAACATTTTTGAGCATCATTTTTCTTTGTAAAATGGGGATATCAATTCCTATTTCAGAGAGCAGTTGGAATAATTAACTGAGATATGTATACTTAGCACCCTTAGCACAGGCCTGGTTTACAGTAAGCAATGAATAAAATGGAAGCGATTATTGATGTTTTATGCTAATGAGAAGAATTTAGACAAAATATTCCCTCCCCTCACCTCCTCTCCTTCTACCTGATTCTGTCTTCTCTACTTGGTAAAATAACTTTTATGGAGACAATCCCTTCTATTTTGATGCCCAGAATCCCAAAGTAGGGATTCTAGTCATACAATTCCAGCCTGGGGAGCATTTTGGTGAACTAGCGAGAGCAAAGGTTGAGCAACAAGAGGTCTAGATTCTAATTCCTGCTCGGCTGCTAAAAAGTCAGGTGATTTGGGGCCAGTCATGGTCTCTGGAGGGCCATCAATTTCTTCTTCCCTAAAATGAAGAGTTGGAGTAAGATGGGCTTTTAAGTTCTTTCTATTCCAAATGCTATGATTCTATATGAAAGGGTCATAGCATAAAACGACCTTTTACTTATACTTAAGAACTTCAATGGATACATGTTTTTTTCTTCTGAGACCTCGTGTAGCTTTAACTTGCCTCACATTTTCCACCTGTAAAAGCGGTAGGTTAAGGTGGACTGTGGAGTTGGGCGTCCCGTCCTGGGTTTGGGTTTTAGCTCCACCACTTGTCTCTGGGCAAATTATATAACCTCTCTGGGCTTCAGTTACCTCATCTGTCAAATGGGGATAGACAGAGGGTAGATGTGAAGATGAAAAGAGGTGAAACACTTGGAAATATATAACCCCAAGTGCTATAGTGTAATATCCTGTAAGGCTTTAACCAGTTTTATCTTTATCTTAGTGAACTTATTTCAGAATGGCTTTCTTCATGGACTATGAATACCCTGTTATCATCTTACTGGTTCCCTCATTAACTAATGAGTTGAATAAAATCTTTCACGTGTTTCATTCTATTTTTGTAAGAGAATCACATTTTTAACTTTTTGAAAATTATTCTTTGACAGATTCTAACTCTGCCTTAAGACACTTTCCTCAATAGTTTGACGTTGGCAGAGCTTGCTTTGCTAGAAATGCTGATTAAGTTATTGAAAAAAAACAAAAACACACTGGGTTTCCATGTTTATATTTTCTGCCCTCTTCTTCCCTATGTCAGTTAGCTACAGCCAGGTCCTATGGGGGTGAGGGTGAGGAAAAATCCCTTGGAGGAGTCTCTACCCACTGGAAAAAGAAATAAGCAAGCAGCAAGATGAACCTAGCAAAGAGATACTTTCATTGTGGCCTTTACATTTATGACTAGCAAGATAATGAAGGAAGGTAATTCCGAAAGCTTTATGTCAGCTTTAACGGTCCCTCAAGCACTGAGAAAGATAATAGTCAATGGATGGTGTCCATAAGGACTTTTTCTCCTTCTCCCCTGACAGCCACTGACAGGATCATTTTGTATTTGCAACTGCTATCACTGAAGCATGGAGAAAAGGCCCTGTAAGGCCAGGAGGACGAGGGCGACTTCCCTGCATGGATCTCTATTGTCATCACTATGGCAATAATAGTTACTATAATTTTCATTCTGCTTTTCTATAGAATGTCTACTTTGTGGCGCTCAAGGCTATGGGATCTGGGTCACATAAATTCACACTAGCATAAAATCATGCTTTGTAATCTTGCAAGAGTATTTTATAAAACTGCAAAGAGAACCTATGTAACAAGATAAAAATAATTACCAATGCAGGTCACTTGACTAATACAGTTATTTATGGGATGCTAATAGCTTTTCAGAGGCTTTCAGATACAGTGTCAATTTGACAGTCGTTTTTTTCTCTCCCTGTTTGGACTGTTAAAACACTGCCAGTTTTTCTCCCAAAGGACATGGCTTATCATGGCGGGGGTTCGGGGTGGGTGTGGGGGGTTGGGGAATGTAAATTAATTGCAAATCAGCTCTCAGTCATCGTCTGGTAGTTTCACTTTATTATTCGCAATTAAATCATGAGGACAGGAGCCATGCCTTCCGTTTCATTTATGCACACCCTCATCTCCTAAGACTGCGCTCTGCACGGAGCAATGTTTCAGTGTTCTTAGTTTCCGGACAGGCAGCATTAGAGACATCTAACACTTCCAAAGTAGACTTTGCAGAAAGAGCCTCTGTGAATGAAGCAGGCTCGGAGGCTCACAGGTGATCTTAGGATGGGATGACAAATCTCTAAGAGGGGCCTCGAAGTCGGGAGAAAACAGTTGAAGACAAAGAAAAGGCGTCCAGAGAAAAGAGATGAAAACGAGAAGGACAAGCAAAAAGAAACAAAGTCAGCGATTGAACGGACTAAAGAAAGAAAAATAACAGAAGAGGTACACAAAACGAAAGGGAAAGACGCGCGCCTGCAGCTACACAGACAGAAAGGGAGGGACGGAGCGCGGAGGGGCGGAGACTACAGCCCCCAGAATCCCTTGCGCCCCCCCCGGGCGTCAGTCTCCTAGGCAACCCCGGTAAACAAGATGGCGACCTCCGGGAGAGATCCCCAGTGGCTGATGCCTCCCTCTCTCCAGGGAGGCTTAGGTGGTTCACGAACTGAAGCCCAGTCGATACTGTTGCGCTCAGAAAAAGACCGTCAGTCTTGCTGGTCTTTTATCCCCATGGGGCAGAGACCGAAAGGTACTATCCGCAAAGCCTCCTCCTACCTGCTTCGGCAGCTCGTTCGCCGCTACCAGGAGTCGGACGCGGACAGAGAGGAGGACGAGGACGAAGGCGAGGGCGAGGGCGAGAGAGAAGTGGAGTCCGAGGAGTTCTCAGAATCAGAAATGCTGAATTTGCAGGTGTGCCTTCCCCACCACCGCTCACCCCCCTCGCTCCCTTCTCCAGCCGTCGGGCCCTGCTCTTTCAGCGGCAGCTCCCAGACGCACCCCGTAGCAGCCCGCGGCTCACCGCGTTCCTCGGGATCTCGCCTCCAGGGGCGCCTCTTCCTGACCGCTCTGAGGCTCCCCCTCTCTTCTTCCCATTTCTGTTACCCCGTTTCCTTACCCCTTGCCTGAAATATCTCCAAGTATCTCCATTATTTTTCATGAGCACATTTGGTTTCTTAAGAGGCAACTTAACACAGCGTCGTTATGAAAAAGTATCTATCTATTTATTTGGGAGTTACGGTAACTTTTGCAAAATTATACCTTCACAGTAGTGCATATATTGTCAATAGGCAGAGTTTGTCTTTGGCATCCCCTACACACTCCCCCGCTTCTAGTCCCTTCATCCTTCTTCCACGAGGAAAAAAAATTACTCACTTGAAATAATCTAGTGGAAGAAATAATCTAGTCGAAGAAATAAAAAATTCTTCCTCAAAGACTGACTTAAAAGATTAGTATATTACTTCTGCCAGGGGCATATGACGCATTATACAAGCAACATAGACCCCCCAGGAAGGAGCCATAGAGTGTTCAAACAGCCAGCTCACTGTGGGAGTATTTTAGCATGTGGGGAATGTTCCCAACATTTCCATGTGTATTGCCTAGGTTGGGGCTTTGCCTTTCATATTAATACAAATTACCCCTTTTCTACAATACCTTTTCTAACCACCACCCAATCCCACTTGTTTCGTACACTTATCGTCTTCCTGCTCCTTCCTTAGCCCGTTGCCTGTCTTCTTGTCTCTTTCCACTTCTCATCACTTCACCTCCTTCTCTTGGCTTTTAATATATTGTTTGCTTTCTTTCAAAAACATAAATTGATTTGCTTCCTTTCAATAAACTATTAGGTTTTTCCTTTGTCTTGGCTGCCAGGAAACTCAGAATCAATATTTTTCTTAATTTCAATAGTTTTTCTTTTTTTTTTTTTTTTGTGAGGGAGATCAGCCCTGAGCTAACATCCGTGCTAATCGTCCTCTTTTTGCTGAGGAAGACTGGCTCTGAGCTAACATCTATTGCCAATCCTCCTCCTTTTTTTCTTCCCCAAAGCCCCAGTAGATAGTTGTATGTCATGGCTGCACATCCTTCTAGTTGCTGTATGTGGGACGCGGCCTCAGCATGGCCGGAGAAGCCGTGCGTCGGTGCACGCCGGGGATCCGAACCTGGGCCGCCAGCAGCGGAGAGCGTGCACTTAACCACTAAGCCACCGGGCCGGCCCTCAATAGTTTTTCTTTAGATTAGGTTTTTCTCTCCCTTTTCCTTCATAGTATAAATTGCTTCAAATTTTTTTCAGAAGTAGATATAATACAGAGAAATCGAATGTTTCCAATATCCCCATTCTGTAACATTCTTCTGGCTTCCCCTCTTTGCATCTTTGCACCTTTTGTAGTCATATTTCCTCCTTGAGCCCGAACATGTTTCTCTTTGTGATGCCTGCTGTCTTTCACAAAGTCCTTTCTTCATTTGTCCTATTTCTTCTTATTCTCCCCTCTGTAACTTGCAATGTTTTCTGTTACTCTGATTCTGCCATTAACCACTTACACTCTTCCCATACTTGGGTTTCCTTCTTTCATAATGTTCTTTTGCTCACTTTCAATATTTGGCCCATTTTTTCCACCCTCATCCCCCATTTTGTCTTTCCTCTTCTTCTACCTCCTTCTACATGGGCTAGTTACATTAGTTTTGCTTAAAGTGAACCACAGAAAAGTATTACTTATTTTGTTCATCTTCTGTTGTTTTGCTTTGCTACTCTTAATAGTGACTGTTGCAAAACTGTAGCAGTGTTTTTAGAACTTTGAGATGTTTGTGTGGTTTCCACCAGCTTCCACCCCAGAGGAATTCACAAATGAATCAACAGTTTACTTTATTATTCTAATTAACGCGTGCTCTTCGGCTGCGGGGTTCATTAGTACCGTTGTTAATCTGTCTTCAGTACGCCATTAACAAACTGTTGAGGCGGTTGACTTGAACTAGTTATTCTTTTTGGCTTGTAGGCAGCGTGTGGAAAAGGTTTATTGTTTCTTCCATTTACGTTCTAAATATTAATATTTATTTTGTGTTTTCACATTCTATTTTAGCTTTTTACAGTTTCTCAATTACTTTTAATATGCTGAATAGACTGAAAAGTTTTAAAAGGAAACATTTGGACTCTGATGTTCAGTGATTTATTTTCCGTATCCTAGCCTGGTGAAGATTTACAATGCTATCATGGTCACAATGATTATTGAGGGCCTTATCATGCAATTAGCCTCAGACTTCAAAAGCCCTTATGAACTTAAGGGAGGTAGTCCAGACCAGCTTTTCAGAATACTGCCTTTGGAATCAAAGATTTTTGTAAAGCCTTTTGTTAGTTATGAGGTTTTGAGCAACTTACTTCACCTCTCTCTGTTTCATCTGTAATATGGTAATTATAATAATACCTGTCTCATGGGAGAGTTGTGAGAATTAAATGAGATCCTATATGTAAAATACTTAGCATAATATATTATTTATACTGTTACCAATACAAATAATTTACATGCTTTTATCTGCTAACTACAGTTCATTAAGTGATTTAATTAATTTAGCCTTCATTGAACAAACATTCATGGAATGGTTGCTATGTAGGGAGCACTCTTTGACTACATAGGGCAGTAGAAGTGTCTGGGCCCATGATGTGTGTCTGATGCGTGAAAACCACTTTTTGCCAGGAACTTAATGTGGGTAATAATGCCTACTCTTTGGATAGTTATGAAGATTGAATTTATTGACAAACTCTATGTTAAAGTTCTTAATATAGTGTCTGATACAGAGTAGGCTCTCAAAAAATTATAGGTGTAATACTTAATAGCAACAGTAGTGATAGAAGAAGAAGAGAACATGATTAAGGACATACATGGCCCCTGCTCTCAAGGTGAGATAAGAATGTGAGTAAATCGTAGCTATTCAGCATGTGGCAGAGATCATGGAAGACTTCAAGGGAAGTACAACCTTGTCTGAGTGGACAGGTGGTGTGTGGGCAGGCAGATGGCAGCTTTTCCTGCTGATGAGTTATAGGTGAGAGCAGCTGAGGTGGGGGCCAGATTGTGAAGGGCGCTGTGCTGTTGTATGGACTGTGGATTTGAGTCTCTAAGCAGTGAGGAACTGCTCTGGTGGCTGAGATGATAAGACTGGAAGTAAGGAGATCAGTGAGAAGCCTCTAGCAACACCTATGGGGGAGAGACAAGAGTCTGGATTAAGGTGGTGGGAGTGGAAAGGAAGCTAAAGATGAAGATATATTTCAAATATTTAAGATGGGACAGTTACTAATTGATTATTAGAAGTCCGGGATGACTGTTAGGTCTATGGTATGGTCTGGGAGGATATTAAGGCCATTAACTACAATAGGAAACATGATATATCAATCACAGGATTCTGGAAGTCAGGGGAGGGAATCTCAGACTAGAAGACCTGGGAATCATCAGCACTGGAGTCCATGAGATCATCCAGGAAGAGAAGAGAGGAGACGAGGAGGGCCAAGGAAAGAAGCCTGGGGATACAGGTATTTAAGTGGCTGGCAGATGAGGAGGAATCAGGGAGGGAAACTGGAAAGGACTGGTAAGAGAAAAAAAAGAAGAAACAAGAGCCATATGATAAGGAAACCAAGGCAAGAAAGAGTCTTGAGAACATGGGAATGGGCTGTGCTGCCAGCAGGTTGGGTGGGAGGGGGCCTAAAAATACTCGTTAGCTTTGCCTATTTGAAGTTCATGGCAGACCTTGCCCGTGTGGTTTTTGTGATGTGGCGAAGGCAGAGGCCTAACTGAAGTGAGTTGAAGAGTGAATGAAGGTGAGGAGAGGAACTAACAGATAAAAAAGCAACTCTGGAGGAGCTTGGTTTTTAAGGGAAACTATAGCTATAGCTGCAGGAACATGCAGGACTGAGAGAGCCTTTTTAGGACAGAAGAGACTCACATACTTGTATAGTTGGAGAAGTGACAGGTTGGAGAATGACTGGTTGAAATCACAGGCAAAAGAGGGCAAAACTGATAGTCCCTGAGGAAACAGAGGGAATGGGGCCCTGAGTGTGGAGAAGGAGAGGCTTCCTCTGAGACTTGAGTGAGAAGCATTAGGACTGGCGCAGAACATTGAGAGAGTTAATGTCTGATCATTTCTACTTTGCCTCAGAAGTAGAAGGGAAGGGCATCAGCTGAGAGTGAGGACCAAGGAGTGGAGGCACCGGACAGGTTGAGGGGAGGGATGAACACCTGACTAGCCAAGGTGGGGAGTTGAAAGGCAGCCGACGAACAATGGGAGACTATCTCATAGCATCAAGGTGGAGCTAAGAGTTACCTTTAGAGTGGCACCAGCATGCATGGGTGTGGGGCCCTTCCCAGCCCGCTCAGCAGCTCAGGGCGAGGAGTAGGTTCATTAAGTCCTTTAACTCATATTGGAGCGCCTGCCATGCACTAGGTGCTGTATTCCCCCCTTCCCACTTTATGTTCAGCTATTTTGAACTCTTTGTAGTTCCCCCAATGGGCCATGGTCATCTTTGCCTTTGGGATTTTGTACATGTTGCCTCTTTTGCCTGCAAGACCCTTCTTGGCCCTCTTTTCTGCCCTTTCTTCCCCTTTGCCAGAATAACTCACAACTTTGGGTCTCAATTTAATCACTCTTTCCCCCCTCTAAACTCCTATTGCCACTAGAACCGAAGTAAAATGGGCGCACTGCTTGCAGTCAAAGTACTCTGCTTACCTCTACTGTAATATTTATCAAACTCCTGAAATTGCTTGTGTACTTGTCTGTCTCCCAGATTGAACTGTAAATCCCTTAAGGATAGGCACCATGTCTTATTCATAATTCTATCCACTGAGTGTAGCATAGTGGCTGGCATGTGCTTGGCATGCTCTAAAGATTTTTATCCCAAATGAATGATGAGCATGACACAGTCCCTGCGTTAACGCGGTAGTTGATTGTGAACTTGATTCAGGTTTGGGTATGTATGCAGTAGTTGCAATCAGAGGACAAGAAATCAGAGACTTGAGGGCAGAGAGACACTGAAATTGTCCATGGGATACCCAGTACAGAAGGAAATATAGTTAGGAGGGGACAGATAGACTCTGAGAAAGGGAAGGATGAATAGACTGGAGATTTTGTTGTTTTGTTAAAGAACAAGTTCAATAGGTGTTGGAAAGGTTGAAGGATAGGCAGTTGTGGAATCGGAAAGTGGAATACGGGGGTCTGAGGTTTCTAGGGTGGAGCAGTTTAGCATGATGAGTAGGTCCAGGGCATGGCCAAGGGAGTGAGTGGCTGAAGTTGGGCGGAGACCATTTGTAAGGTGTCTGGAGTTGGGAAGGTAAAGAAATGTGTGTATGTGCATGTGCTTGGAGTAGAAGAGGTATTGAATGGCCGTCTTTAGGGATTCTGAAGCCACCCAAGATAGGGATAGGGCTTGTAAACGTCTGAAAGTGACCAAAGACCAGAAGGGAAAGGCATGATACTGACAAATGGCAAGAACCTCAAAGGAGATGTGATGGGGGGTCTTGCACTGGGGATCTGGGAAAATGCTGACAGTGTGACCTGTGTCCATATCAATGGCTATATTGAAAAACAGACATCCACCTACTATAAGTAAGAGATGCAATACCTTCTCATTTCTAGGAAATGGAGGGGATGGGTCAGGTAAACTACAGAGGTTTAGAGGGAAAGTTTTGGAGGGAAGATAATGCTCCCCCACCTCTATTCTTTCCCAGGTCTTATATAAGAAATTGGAACTTTATTTATAAAAGTAAATATCTTTCCCCCATCTTGTGAACAAGTTGATTGGTATGGATGAATGAAACATTAAGATATGGGATTTTTGACTTCATCAATTAGTAGTAACAACTGTCATTTATTGGGAACACTTGCTGTGTTCCAGGCATTGTGCTAAGAGCTTTACGTACACTTTTTTTTTTTTCATTCTCCTCAAAACGTTAAAAGAAAGGAATAACATTTCCTATTTATAGATGAAGAATATGAGGCTCAGAGAAAACTTTACCTCCCTAAAGTCATGCATCCAAAATGGCAGATCCTGGGTTCTACCCAGGCCTGCCCAGCCACAAACCCTGAGTGCTATCTCCTTGTGGGCAATAATTTGCTTCCCTCGGGTAGGGGAAATTTGGGGGAAAGAAACTCTGTACAATAGCACCAGCCTACATACTTATGTCCTCAGTACTAGCAGTCTGAGCAGCACTGTTGGTCTGTGAATTAATATAGAAGACCTGGAAAAGGGTATTTTGCCATCATAGTCCAAATGCTAGTCATGGTTAGCTATACTGGTGTGACTGGTGTGATTACTGTATTTTGTGTCCTTGTGCTGATGTCATTGTTAATGTGTTGGTCATTATGGAGTTGAAGACAGCACAAACATAGCACTGACCCACCTGTTATCTCTTCTGTCTGTCAATGTTGGGGAAAGGGCATATCAGGCCACCACTGGTCTGTGGATGTCTACAGACCAAGGGCTAACCTCCTTATGGAAATGATTGTTACCCTTTTAATAAATCTTACAAATTGTATTAATCCAGCAAAATTAGACAATAGGAAGTGAACTGGGGACCTGTTTTCTCCAGCAAGGATACCAGATCTAGAGAAGTAATTGCCTTAATTTGATGTAATGATATTTGGGATGTGGACAAGCAGTCAAGTGTAGTGGTTAGAATTGCCCTGGAGTCAGACAGATTTGGGTTTGTATTCTGGCTCTGTCACATACTAATTATGTGGTTTCAGGCAAGTTAACCTCTGTAAGCCTTAGTTTCTTCATCTGCAAAATGGAGCTAAGAGTACCTACCTCAGGGTTGTCAAGAGGATTAAATGAGTTTATCCATTGAGAGCTCTTAGCACAGTGCCTGGAACAGAGAAGCACTCGATCAGTATAGCTATAATTACTAATGCTGATGCTTCTACTGCTGTTGTGTTCATTCCACTTTGAATACCTGATGCAAGTGACTACCTAAAAATTCAGTGGTAATAAAAACATTGATTTGATAGGTATTTATTTAATTATTCATAATATGTATGTGTTCTCAACACAGAATTTTCTTTGGGGCTGATAAATTTGGGAGGGCTCAGCTCCTGGATATGTAACATAGTAAATAAACGCTGGATATGACAAGGTAGATTGTTCCTTTTCCAATAGAAGTCCTTTCTTTGTCCACGTCTCTGGATTTTTTGCAGGAGGAATTTGACGGAGTCCTGAGAGAGGAGGTCGTGGCTGAGGCACTTCACCAACTGGGTCGCTCAGGCCCTGGGACTGAGCAAGTCTACCTCAGTCTAACTTTATCAGTGAGTATGACAAGATTGCCATTGGCTGGCTATATCTTGACACTGGTTGGACCATATCCATTTTCTCTGGTACTCATAGCTTTTGTGGTGGTCCCAAATTTCAGAGTCTTGCATTTGCTGGAGACTGGCAAAAAGAGTTATTTGTATAAATGTTAGACATCAAAGAGCCTGACCAATCCGGCAATCAGCCTTCCAAATTCCTTTGTTTCCATTCCCTTCACAGTCTATTTGTTTCATCTTAAGTAGTCTATATTATAGTAATCAATGCCTTCTTTCCAGAAGGTTGAATTTGATGCTGTAAAACCAATCAAAAACTCTTTAAGAATTTTTCTCTCTGATCAGTGCCAGGACTTAAATTTATATCTGAATCCAAGGGAACAAAGTATTCTGGTATTGACTTTTCCCCCTCTAAGCATGTCAAGAAATAAGTAGCTTTGAGCTATAGCTTACTTTCCAAAAGATACCTATTATTAAAGAAAAAAATACATTGTTATTTATCAATTTTCAAGATTTTGATACTAGCACAAAATCTTGGCTCTAATTTTATCATAAAAGAAGCTATAAGAGCAGAGTACTCTGAGTATTTTAGCTTTTTTCCTTCTTTTGTTTCTCTTTAGTCCTAGAAAACTAATTTAACTCTTTTTGCTTCCTTATATTGTAAAGCATTAAATATTCCTTGGAGATCTACTGGTAAATGCAGACACGTAGGTGAAAAAAAGCACACTGAAATTTTGCTATAGCACCATAATTTGGCAAAGTGTATATAATTCATAACAAGGCTATTTTGTCTTGGATTTGAACTAGTCAACTATCCAAGAAATGTTAAGCTCTTTTCACTCATGCTAGTTCCGTGGTGTCTCCTTTGGGGACAGTATATTAAGGCTCTAATCTTGTACTATTTTCACTTTATAACGTTTTATGAATGACTCAGCCAGTCAGGCAATAACATACAGGGAGCAGCACCCTGTGTGCATTGCACTGTTAGGCGTTGGAATGGTAGATAATTCCAGCAGCCACTACGTCCCACACAAGTCCCTTTCAATCAATATTCTACTTATATACATAGAGCTATGCCTTAAATTGATCTATAGAAAAAAAAGCAATCCTTTAAATCTGATTTCAGCTGGATGGATTGAAGCTTAACTTACTTTGCAGACACATGCAGGCACTGACCTCCTTACCTTTGAGATATTACATGTTGAATTACATTGCCTTAATAACGTGTCTTACTGAATACACTTTCTCATGGTTGCCTGGTTTCGTGATTTTTTCCCCCTTATATCTTATTTATGTTACGTGTTATTTTTTACTTTCTCTTATTACGTGTGTACCCAGCTTTTCTCCTCTCAAAGTTATGTTTCTTAAGGGCACTATATAGCTCTGTTCCATCATTGTATTTCTCATCACGCTAAGCACAAGGCCTTGTGTATAGTAGATTTTCAGTAAGTATTTATTTGTTTCTGTTCTAGTGGCCTTCATTAAACATTCTTATCATTATTGTATTTGAGAACTTGCTTATAATGACATTTCATTAGTTGGCTTTTTCTGATTCTGACATAACAACATAAACCAGTGATATGAGTCTGTTCCAAGGGACAAATTCCCCTCCAGCCCCTCTTGAAGTTCACTAGAAGCAAGTGTAGGGGAGGAAGAACTATTCCTCTACCCTCTAGGTCCTTCTGGCTGGTCTAAGAATTAAATTGACATGAGACAGGATAACAGGAGAAAATCAAATAAAGTTTAATAACATGTATACATGGGAGAGACCCAGGAAAACTGAATAACTCACCAGAATGGCAGAAGCCACCACCTTAGATACCATTTTCAGCTAAGGACAAAGGAGGAAGTTGGGGGTATTGGTTTGAGACTTCAAAGGGGAGGAAGGCAATTCACATGGAGACGGAAAAGCAAATGTTTGGTAAACAAATGTTTGCTGGGCCATCTGTAGACAATGTGACTTGAGAGAGAACTTTGGTAAAAATGGGCTTAGCCAGGATCCTCCCAGTCTATCCATACCCAGAGTTATCTATGGTGATGGCCTGTCCTGGGACAGGCCTTCTATCTTAAATTCTTCCAAGCAGTTAGGGGAAAGATCAAAGTTTCTTTCAGAGTCTTTTGTCCTTAAAAATAATCAAGCCAAAGAGACACATTTTGGGGTGGCAAATTCTGACCCCCTACACGAGATTTCATAGAAAGAGCGTCAGACAAGGATTCAGGAGACTTGGATCTACTTCTCTATCACTGATTTGCTATGTGATTTTAGGCTATTTACATACCTCTTTGTATCTCATATTCCTCGTCTCTAAATTGGGAATAATCTGCCCTAGGGATCTCAGGTTTGTTTGATCAGATGAGATTATCGTGTGAGAGCTTTGAAAATGAACCCTGTGAAAATGTAGGTGGTATTGTTATTAATGTTCTTCTGATTAGGTGTGAGCTCTCTTTAACATTTCATTTAAATTCTAGACATTTGCTTTTCCTTTTCTTCTACTAGACAAAGGCTTTGGCTTTATTGCTATTATGTGTTTTTTTTTTTTTTTAAACATAAAACTCTGCTCTAAAGGTCTCCACGACACTGCCTTTTCATGTTGTGTTTCTTCTTGCTAACAACACTAATTTTCTAAGCTATTATTTTCTTCAGAGGAATGCGTTTTTTGATGGTGTGTGTAGTCTGTTTTGAGATCCTATTAGTAGTAGGCTTCAGATTTTGTTCTCTCACTTCTACCATACTTTTGAAAGAAATTCTGGATTTCTTTTGTCAACCATTATTTCCAGATATTGCGAGAAGGCTAGTACTAACCTGTTAAAACAACATTAAAGTCTTTTATCTTTTATTTTCTCAGGGTTGTGATTTAATTGACGTTAGCATTCTCTGTGGATATGTTCACCTACAGAAATTGGATCTTTCAGTAAATAAAATTGGAGGTATGTAATTATTATTCTAGTAAATTGATGGATCACTGAATTATTTCAAAATTTAAGCTTTGCCGTATGTAATATAGTTTAATACTACAAAACTTGATATAAGTACTATTGTGGATCAATTTACATATTGATCCTCTGCTTTCCCTGTAAAAAAGGCGTCAATGACTAGTGATAAAGAAAAAGGCACAGGTCAGCAAACATGCCATCTTATGTTATGGTTGAGAGGCACTCAGTGATATTGAAGAGTATCAGATGGAATGTTTGCTTTGCTTTTTCCTTTTAAGAGATGAATCGTTACTTCTTTAATACTTCCTGAATATTTTATGATTCTCTTTTCTTTCCCTCTATTAGTTTGTTCAGTGTAGATGAATTAGTCCTGTTTTGTTTTTCCTTTAATGGATTCTTTTCTTTATTTTGCATTTGCATCTACATTTTAATCCTGGCTAGCTATTTCCGTTCTTCCTATTTGAGCACCAGGGATTCACAAATTAATTTTTCCCCTCTTCTTGCTGTCTCTCTGTATCTAGTTGATTCTTTTAACTCTAACTCTGCCATGTGTAGTTCTATATAACGTATTTGTTGTGACACCTTGCTCACATTTAGTGAAATTAGTCACAGTTTCTTCAAAGCTTGATCCATGTTTCTAATTTTCTGATCTTATTTGAAGTTAAAGTGTACAATTTCTTTTCTTTCGACTTCTAGGGAAGGAAGCAAATCCTTTTTTCTGATCTGCTTTCTTCACTGATAATCTGTCTACTCACTTCTTTAGCCTGTCTTTTTTTATGACAATTGAATATTGCCGATATGGTCTTCTCTGGCTCATTTTTAAATTTTTCCATTCACATGACTGCAATAATTAAAATCCACTTTCATTTCAATGACTAAGAAATATTCTAGTATATATTAATTCTTAAAATGCTACTGTTTTTGAAATTTTTAAATTTTTTTTCTAGTTTTATAAAACTTTCTAATGGAAACTTACAAACATGTACACAAGTAGAGAGACTACTGTAGTGAATATTCAGGTTCAACAGTTATCAGCCCCTGGCTCATGTTGCTTTATCTGTACCTCTCTGCCCCCATTCCCCAGAGTTATTTTAAAGCAAATGCCACATATCGTATCACTGGGAAGACTTTTTTAGTGTTATTGGGAGGAGCTCTCCCTGCACCCCACACCTCCTAGGATGGTTTCATTTACTGGATAAGGAATTGCAGTGTGGTGGGTGTCTTCAACAATGCTTAGTGCTAGTGAAGAGGAAAATGTGGCTTCATACCCTTGCTGCTTGAGCAAGGAGTCCACAGTTGGCAGTGAAGCTTTCATCTTCAGATCAGTCTTTAATCTTTTATGGTCCATTTTATTAACTCATCAACCATTTGAGAACCTACTGTGTATAAGTACAGTATATTTCTCTTTTTGTGAGGACAGCTTTATTGATGATCTGGTGTAGACCGAATTTCAACTTGCATCAGAATCAGCTGGTGGGGGGAGAGGTGCTGTTGAAACACGGATGGTTGCGCCCCACCCTCGTGGTTCCTCATTCGGTAGATTTGGGGTGGGACTTGAGAATTTGCGTCTCTAATTAGTTCCGCGGTGAAGCTGGCGCTGCTGGTCCAGGACCACACTTTGAGGACCACGAGTGGAGACATGAGGAGCTCCTGCCACCTGGTGGACACAGAGGTCACTACACTGAATAGGGAATTAAGGGGGCTGCCAGAGTTAGAAGGCCAGCAACCCAGAGCATGGATTTTTTTTGTCGGTGATTTGAAAGCATTGGCCATCTACAAAGTATGAAATGTACCTGCCATCTCTTTATCTAAGTGGTGGTTGCTACTTCTGCTTCAATACAGAACTCCATAGTACAGCACTTACCTGCCCACAGAAAGATCATCTCCAAGGGGGTCTGGGGGCTGGTGGAAATTAATAGTTGAGACCACTCCTGACAGACATGGAGCTGACCTCAGAATGAACAAATAGGCAAAACTTGTAAAGCCATGACAGTTTCTCCTTAGGATTCCCCTAACAGGCAGCCTTCCTGGGTTCACTCATTAATTCCCACCCAAGTGTTGATATTTCAATGTATCGTCCCTCCTAGACTGATTCCATAAGAACGACAGGCTAGGGCTGGCCCCGTGGCTTAGCGTTAAGTGCGCGCGCTCCGCTGCTGGCGGCCCGGGTTCGGATCCTGGTGCCCACCGACGCACCGCTGCTCCGGCCATGCTGAGGCTGTGTCCCACATACAGCAGCTAGAAGACTGTGCAACTATGACATACAACTATCTACTGGGGCTTTGGGGGAAAAAAATAAATAAATAAAAATTAAAAAAAAAAAATACAACAGACTAAAGAAGGATGTGGTTTACACCAGACAAGTGAAGTAGAAATCAGGATATTCTGGCTTCAGTGTCCCTTGAGAAGGAAAAGTGTTGTGGGGGGCATGGGGGGCCAGGTGACCCTCACATTGCTTGTTCCACCTACTCCAGGGCACGGCCCCAGCTGCTCGGCCTTGCTTCCTTCTCCTGGGCTGGATGTGTCTTTGCCACCTGGTCAAAGGTAGAAGCACTTTGCTTGGCTTCAGGTGTGGAGGCTCCATTCACCCACCAGGGGCATCCTCTGAGGGGCTGTAATCGCTGGTTCTATGATCTAGAATGAGAAGAGAAGGAGACATTATTATTACCATTTTCAGGTGGAGAAACAAGTCACAGGCTGTAAGCTCTCGTCATGTGATTCTTCCTGAGCCTTTCCCTAATTCGTCCTGCTGCCCCCAAGTGCGTTTGCTGGACAGTGACAGAGAAAGGCAACACAATTCTTCACCGTTTTAATGCTTTATATGCAGTTTCTTTAGGAGTGAATATTAGCGGTATAGTCCTTTACTTAGTATTCGAGGTTCAGAATATTTGCTTGGGATAAAATGCAAAATCAGACATACATTTGACCCAATCCAGAGTCAAAGTAAAATAATAGCAATAATTTAAATCACTTCAAATAATTAGTGAGGTTTAGGATTAAGTCCAAGTAAAACAAAATTTAATTTATAACGAAGAAAGTTCTCTAATTGTGGCATTTTCAATCTTTCTGAAAAGACCTAATTCAGTTATTTAGGGACTGATTTTCAAGAGGATTATCTAAGGCATTAGTTTCTTGTCTTTTCCTCTGTGGCTAGCAATTTTTGAAGCTTTTGTCTGTTAGCAGCTTGGGGGAGGGTGAACTGGGACACAGAGGTGGCCTCAGTCATCTTTTACTTGGCTGTCTTGGAAAGAGGGGGATGGAAGAGGTGGGGAGGCCCTGGGGAAGAAGGTTAAATTATGGGCTCATGGAGAGTTTTCCACACTGTGTGCGTGCAGTGTGTGTATTTGTGTGTTTCACACACTCCTGTTTTTACTCATATCACTCATCTGGAATAAAGATGTGCTTACATCTGGCATAATTAAAAATTTTTCTGCTGGAGCATATGCTGTTTTTAACGACTTTATCTAATTTTTATTTTATTGGCTTACCTTATTCTTTCTTTATTTTTCCCCCCAGATTTATCTTGTGTGAGTTGTATGCCTTATCTTCTGGAACTTAATGCTTCTCAAAATAAACTGACTACATTCTTCGATTTCAAGCCACCCAAAAATCTCAAGGTAGACTTTATCAATACACTGACTACATATGTTAACTAGTTTGCAAAGTACAGTAATAAGCAAAACAGCACTAAAATAGAGAATTCAGAAAGAATAAGATGTAGGGGTAAATAGCATAAGTATCTGAAAAGAAATTAAAAAGGAGAAGGATTTGTGTATCATTTATTTTGGAAAAGGGAGATGGTCTATGAACAGAATCTTTTTAGGAATCTTTGCTAAACCCTAGTGTTCAAACCGAAGAACTAGCTTCCTTCCATTCTCTCTCCCTTACCTAAATACTAGCTATTATTTGTATATTTTTATTATAGCAAAACAACTTTGTACCCCAAAAATCTGTACAAAGTGTCCTGGGGGCTCATATTTTGCCCCTTTATTTATCCAAGCTTTAACTTTTTTAGAAAGCAGCGCTCTCAGATCTTCATTCTTGCTTCTCTGCACTTGCTTTTGCATTTCAGAGGCAGAAATGAACTCTGTGCACAGTGGTTGGTGGAGCAGCTTGCTGTGCTGTAGAGTGCTGTGTCTCACGCTTTCGTGTGCACGTGGGTAGATTGGGGTTCTTGTGAAAATGAGCTTCTTGACCCAGTAGGTCTGGGGTGGGGCCTGAGACTGTGATTTCTAACAACCTTCCAGGCAATACCATTGCTGCTGGTGCATGGACCATACTTAAGCAGAGAGGTCATAGATTAGTGGTTCCCAAGCTTTTCTGCACATTGGAATTACCCAGGGAGTTTTAAAAACCCCTGATGCCTGGATCCCACTGCTAGAGATTCTGATTCAAGTGGTCCAGTGTAAGGCCCGGGCGTGGGAATTTTTAAAAGACAACCAGGTGTCTCTAAAGTGCTGACAAATTTGGGATCATTGCCATAAGCTTAGGATTAGTGCTGTTCTATTGGACTCAAATATTTCATTAAAAAGTTATTTTTAGGAATTGATATCAACTATTGCCTTTTATTATCCATTAGTTTTATTTTATTTACAAACCAAATTAACTTAGATGCCAAGTATTCTGCCGGGGCTTGCACAAATACGTAAATCTGTTTGAAATCAAGAATCTGATTCCTCCCTCCTGCCAGTGAGACACACCCTTCTTAATTTTTCTTCTATTGTTTCACATCACTCCGTTTTTATCAGTAGTGTGTTTTTTCTTTTTGAAATTATATTTCTTGCCAGGGTGGTATTCCTTTGTCCAAATAAGCCACACGAGGTGCCTGTTTGTACTCCCTGTGGGGCCACATGGTCTCTAGGTTCTCGGGAATTGTATTTGCAGGGCTGTTTCAACTCTCCCTCCTTTGCTGTCCCATTCCGCCTTGCTCTAAACCACAGGGAATCAGCATGACCCCTTCCCTGGAAAAACCTTCCTTGGAGTTTCTTTCATTCACACCCTTACCTTACCCCCTCCCAAAAAGACTCCACCAACGAACAAAAACAAATCAGAAACCCCATCTTTAAGGTTCCGAGCTCCCTTGTACGTATTGATAACTTTAGAGAAGTGCCCAGAGCAAATGTACTGACAACTTTAGAGAAGTGCCCGGAAAGTGCCAGACGGCCCTGAGGAGGTGCTTCAGCCCCCTGGGAACCCCCTGTGAACCCTCTGTGAACCTGGGAGGGGAACGATTAAGGCTTTCCGATGTTTTCAGTGCATTATCTTATTTAATCCTCCCAATAAAGCTGTGAGGCAGCTGGAATGGTCCCATTTTACAGATGAGGACATTGAAGTATAGAAAGGTTAAGTAACTTATTTAATCTTTGCTGAGAGCCAGCAGGACTGGGATTGACCCAAAGCCTGTATCTTCCCAGTAAATCAGGCTTGTGTACAACGTCCCACGCTCTCGGAAAGCTCTGCTTCCTTTTCACTTATTATCTTGAGCCTTGAGCCACCAACCAGAGAAAGCATACATTTCCTAAAGAGCAGGGGCTTGGTCCTGCCCTCTTTGTATTTCCTAGAATGCTTTTGTTCTTAGTAGGTGCAGAAGGTTCATTTGATTGATGAGTACTTCCTGCAAACCTTGGATTCCAATGGAACTCCCAGTGGGAGTCAGAGCGATACCAAAACCCATTTAAGGTCTCTCAACAGACCTAATATCATAGGTTGAGAGAAGGCATAGTACTGGCATGTAGCCCTGACAGTGGTGTAGTTGAATGGATAGCATGAGCAGACACCAGCTATGGCACAAGAGTGAAAGGTGTTGATGAAAAAAGTGTCGAATATAAGTAAGCTCAGATAATTATAAATTTATTTCTAGTCCATCATTATTTCATAGGAAAAAAAAATGAATGTGAAACTTCATTACATCATGCCAAACTGACTTCTTATTTCAGTTATGGTATGCATTTTACATAGTTGAAATTTGTATACGCATGAAATTTTGTGTTCTGATTTTTTTTTTTACTAACAGTATTTTGCACATTTCTACTTTTTCACATGGCCCACACACTTATATTTTACTGTGTAGTCCTGTTACTATATCGTAACCAACTTAACCTGCTTTCTACTCTTGCCACTTGAGTCGTTTCCAATTTTTTTTTTAATATTTCAAGTTTTTAAAGTTTTTAGTATTTAAAGTATTTAATATTTAGTACATTGATAAAATAATCTTAGTACGTTTTTGAGGATGGAATCACTGTTTTAAAGGGCACAAGAAGATAAGAATAGTGCTTATTATATAGTTGCTTGATAGTTTTCCAGAAAATGATTACGATGTAACCAGCAAGTTATTGATGCAGCATTTCAAAAAGTTGGGTTTTTCTTTCCTTTTTTAAAAAAGAAATTGTTTTTGTTTATCTTTTGCCAGTAGGTGAATAATTAAACAAAAATACTTAATGTTGCTTTTCTTTAGTCTCATATTTTTGAGTAGGAACAACTGATGTTGCTGAGAATGCTTTCCTAAAATAGTCAGTTTTGAGAAAGAGTGTTAAGTTGAAGAGGTGTGGCCTGAGGGATGAATAAGAAAGATTTTTCTGGCATTTAGGGGGTGGCATGGGAGAATATATTGAGATAGAAATAGAAATGGCAAAGAAAAGGGACACAGGATATGCATATAAACTAAGTGAATAGAGTTTACAAGGCATTAGAGAAAATGAAAGGAATGGTGGTAACTAAGGGTGAAATTGAGGTAAATCCTGAAGAAAGATCAAGAAAGTTTAAAATTAATGCTGAAAATGGAGAGAATTACAGCAGGAATTGGAAGCAATGGGGTTGTGGGGATGTCTGCCCAGCTACGAAGTCTCCTCTTCAATCTCTCTCAAGGGACAGACAAGGATCCCAGTTAGAAAATGATTCAATATTAGTAAATATGATAGCCTTAGTGTATTTTCAATAATGCATTCTAACCCCACATCCAGAAATACATTCTTCTTGTGCAATTAATTATTGTGGTTAAGATGAATGAAAAATAAAGTGTGATATATTATTCTCTTTTTCTCATCAGAAGGTGGATTTTTCCTGCAACCAAATTTCTGAAATGTGTGATTTGTCGGCATACCAGGCTCTCACTAAACTAATTTTGGACAGTATCCTTTGAATGAATAAAGGGGAAAATTTGGTTAATAGGGCCATTAATAAATATGTACCAGCTGACAGACTAGTACCAGATAAGCAATTTACTAGAGATGTGTGGCTCATTTAAATGATTAAGAATTGATATTCACAAAATGAGGAAAGATATTTTATTTACCAAGGAGTGGGATTGCAAGTCAAAGCTTGCCAAGAGCATCTTCTACCCGAAAAGCTAAGTAAGACAGTTATTCTTCTGATAAAAGGAGGCTTATTTTTAATTCTAGAGCCAGATAAGAAGTTCTGTTTTAACTGACTCCTTTTCAAATTTACTTAAACTTCTGCCCTATTTTCTATAAATTCAGTAGCTGAAAATCCAGATATAGCGAAAAGGAAAATTAGTGATTATTTCACAAAAGAATTCATACTAAGCTTTCTTGAAATAACAAGCTTCTGTGTGTATTTAAAATGTGCATTCATAAAAAAAAAAAAGCAAAACCAACAACTTTTGATTAGCAACCAACTTCAGGAACATATCTATTGCATGAGTCAGGCTCCCAATTAGACAGCACCTACTTTCAAGTAGGCGGCACACTTTAGCTTCTGGAGCCTAGGGGGTTAATTGGGGATCTGTGAGTTTAATGAGCTCGAGTCTTTTCTTTACACCAGGGGGCTGATGTTCTCTGGGAGATGAGGGAGCAGCACCTTCTCTTTCTCAGTAAGCATCTTTCTACCCACCTGAGGATTTTTCACGGCAGAGTGGAGAGGAATTGATTGCCCTTGGGTGCCTCATTCCAGGGATGTGGCAGCAGCTAGTATACACTACACCTGTAATAGGGCTGAGATGTGAGGAGAACAGGAGGTACATTTTCTTGAAGACATATTTTATAGGAAAAAAACCTTTATTCATATATGATGGAAAGCTTAGGACACAGCGCCACTCTTTTTAGAACTTATGTGTGAAAATGAGCAACGAGTGGACATTTAGATGGTGCTCTCAAAAGGAGAAGTTCTCCTGAACGTAGCTAATGAGAAAATGAAATGTTTTGATGACAAACTAAACGTCGTATACATTAGCAGCACCTGTCCATAGAACCTCACTTGATGCTTGACTGTCATCTATATTGAATTCACAAAGAGATAGAGTCTGACAGCCCAGAAGCCGTGTGGCTCACAAATCCACTCATCTCAGGCCATCTAGCAGAATGCTGCTCAGGGAGGACCAGCAGCATCAGCGTTGCCCGGAACTTGTTAAAAATGCAGACTCTTGAACTTGACCCCAGACCTATGAAATCAGAATCTGCAATTTTTTTTTTTTTTTGAGGAAGATCAGCCCTAAGCTAACATCTGATGCCGATACTACTCTTTTTTTGCTGAGGAAGATTGGCCCTGGGCTAACATCTGTGCCCATCTTCCTCTACTTTATATGGGACACCGCCACAGCATGGCTTGACAGGTGGTGCATTGGTGCGTGCCCGGGATCGGAACCTGCAAACCCTGGGCCGCTGAAGCAGAGCGTGCACACTTAACCGCTGCGCCACCGGGCCGGCCCCCAGAATCTGCATTTTTAACAAGACTCCCCCCCCCAAGTGGTGTGAATGCACATTACAGCTTGAGAAGCACTGGTCTAGAGGTCAGCTGCCCCCCTAAACTCTTACCGGCCAAAAGAGATGGAGATCCAGAGCCCCTTCGAGTCTTCAGGGTACCCTGAATGAGGATGGTGACATGACAGTCTGGAGTTTGACAGTCTGAGCTCTGTCTCAGAAAAATATTCTTGTATGTACAGCATGGAATTGCCAGAGAAAACAACTCTACAATATTTTGGACTCAAACAAAGAAGGCAGTTTAAAACATTTCTATCATGAGAGTCTTAATTTCTATATGAATTTATCTTTTCATGTAAAAACTAAATTATTATGACTTTGTATCTGTCAAATATCATGAAGAAAGGAATTAGGGTTTTTTTTTAACTTGACTTTAGATGTAGCAATTGAATCTTATCTCCAAAGCGTAAAAAGCTGTAATTATTACATCAGAACAAATTGAAATTCAGAACAAGGACACGTAATTAGAATGTAACATTCCTCACCTGTGTTTTTTAAAATGCAAAGACAAGTAGGCAAAACAAGCTACCCTTCATAAACTATTAATGAAATAAACTTCTTAGATAGCTTACAATTTTGAAAAGATAGTAGGCTAGTTTTTAAACAGTACTAAATATGCCTCTTTGTTCTGTTCAAGTGTATTGTGTATAATTATATTTTTGAAAAAACTAAAAAGCTTTGAGATAATAAGAGAAATTTTTTTTTTTTTGGTGAGGAGATCAGCCCTGTGCTAACATCTGCCAATCCTCCTTTTTTTTTTTTTTTTTGCTGAGGAAGACTGGCCCTGGGCTAACATCTGTGCCCATCTTCCTCCACTTTATATGGGACGCCGCCACAGCATGGCTTGCCAAGCAGTGCATCGTTGCGCGCCCGGGATCCGAACCGGCGAACCCTGGTCCGCCGCAGTGGAGCACGCGCACTTAACAGCTTGTGCCACTGGGCTGGCCCCAATAAGAGAATTTTTAAACAACTTTTTTATGCCAGTACGTTTGAAAACTTAGATGAAATGGACAAATTTCTATAAAAATATTCTGCACCAAAATGCTGATTTCGAAATAGAAACCCTGAGTAGTCCTGTAACTATGAAAGGAGTTCATTAAAAACTGAAATAAACTAAATTAAAAATCTTCATGCAAAAAAGCCCACCAGACCCAAACTTTCTATAACAGACCTTGCAATAATGAACAATTTTTTCAAAGATTAAAAATAGGTGGTGTATTAACAATTCATTCTAATGAGGTTACTTCAATATCCAAACCAGACATGGAAGCATACGAAAAATGAAAATGACAGACTCATTTCCCTCATGATATAGATGTAAAAATCCTAAACAAAATATTAGCAAACTGAATCTGACAGTATATGAAAAAGGTAATATAGCATGACCAAGTTAGGTTTATCTCATGGATATAAGGATGGTTTAATATTAGAAAATCAGTGATGTCAATAAACTACATTAACAGATTAAGGGAAATAAACCATATGATCAGTAGATATAGAAACTCAATAGACATAAAAAGTTTAATAAAATCCAGTACTCATTCACAATAAAATCTCTTAGTAAACTAGTGATAGGGAATTTCCTCAACTTTATAAAGAATGTCTACAAAAATATTTGAAACTAACTTTATTTTAATTGGTGACATGTTCTAAGCATTCATTAAAATCGGGAACAAGACAAGATATCCACCATTGCTACCTGTATCCATCATTGTTTTGGAAGTCTTAGCACCATAAAACACAAGAAAGAAATTAAAGGTATAAAAATTGATAAGGAGAAAATAAAAGTCATTCTTTGCAAATAATATGATTGTCTATAACAAATATCAAAAAGAACTTGCAATAAACCACTAGAAATAATAGTTTTGGGAGTTCAGCAAGGTAGTTGGATGTGATTTCAGTAAACAGAAATCAAGTGCATTTCTCTACACCATAAACAAGCAATTAGGAAACAACTTTAAAGAGAGACACCATTTACAAGAACAATAAAAATGAATCTTATTAAACATGAATAAGACCTGTGGGGAGGGACATAGTAAAACTGTATTGATGAGTATTAAAGACTTAACTAAAAGAGAAATATATCCCATGTTCCTGGATCAGAAGATGTGTAAAAAGAATTTTGTAGAAAGTGAATCAGATAAGGCTAATAAACCTTTGAAGAGATGTCATTCTCTTTTGTATTCAGAGAAATGCCACTCAAGACCACATGAGATGCCATATTATATCTATTCAATTGACAACATTTAAGAGATCTAAAAATACCAGGTGTTGGAGAACATGTAGATCAAAAGAATCTTTTCTTTTTCTTCCTTATTGTTATAAAATTAGTTCAACTGCTTTGGAAAACAATTTTATACTATCTTGTAAAGTTGAACACCCAAGTTTCCTATGACTTAGCACTTTCATTCCTGCATATGGGAAGTTTAGCATGCATGTATCTGGAGGTATAAGAATGCTTCTAGCAACATTGCTTGTAATAGCAAAAAATTGAAATAGCCTAAATACTCATTGATAAGAGAAAGCATAAATTATGGTATACTCACACAATAACATATCATACAGTAGTGAAAATGAGTGAACTATATCTCCATGCAGCAATAAAGATGAATCTTCATAAAACTAAATATAATTTAGGTATAAAACCAAAAGGGAAAAGGGAGGAGAAAATAGACAATTCATCATAGTGGTTATCTCTGAGAGCAAGACATCAGGATGTGACAGGAGAGGTGCACAGAGGTAGATGTAAGTTATTGCTAATGTTCTACTTCTCGGGTAAGGGTGATGGTGAGTTCAAGAGTGTTCACCATATTTTTAACAGTAAATGAAAGCAGGCCATGTATGGGTGAGTGATGTACCTGTGTCCATTAAAAATTTTTTAAATCTGAACATTATAAGTTAATTTCTTTGAAAACAATTATTTATCAAGCTTCAAACTTCGGCTGTGTTAGAATCCCCTGGAGGGCTTGTTAAAACGCCTATTGCTGGCCTCCATCCTCAGAACTTCTGGTTGAGTAGGTCTGGGGTACCTGAGAATTTACATTTCTTTTTTTCTTTTTTTTTTTAAAGATTTTATTTTTTTCCCCCCAAAGCCCCAGTAGATAGTTGCATGTCATAGTTGCACATCCTTCCAGTTGCTGTATGTGGGACGCTGCCTCAGCATGGCCGGAGAAGTGGTGCGTCAGTGCGTGCCTGGGATCCGAACCCGGGCTGCCAGCAACGGAGCGCACGCACTTAACCGCTAGGCCACGGGCCGGCCCAGAATTTACATTTCTAACAACTTCCTCAGTGATGCTGATATTGCTGGTCTGAGGACCACACTTGGCTCTAAGCTAATCAGTTTAGGACCACACTTTGCTCTAAGCTTGCAAGGTGTGCTTTCCTCATCTGATGCCATTCCATTTGTCCTTTTA